ATACTGTGCAGCAAATATGCTGTCAATTAATTTCAAGAAGACTAATTATATGATTATTACTTCACTTAAAAAGAGAACAAATATCAGAATAACAGCTTGCAATATAGAACAAAAATCTCAGATAAAATATTTGGGGGTTTTTATTGATGAACATTTAAAATGGGATGCTCAGCTCCAGCACATAAACAATAAAATAACAAAAAACATCGGAATTCTATTTAAGCTTAGACATTATTTACCTGTGAGCACACTCAAACAACTGTACTATACTCTCATATATCCATATCTAACATATGGATTGATGTGCTGGGGAACTGCATACCAAACCAGGTTAAATAAAATCAAAATAAGTCAAAACAACGGTATCCGCAGCATCTTCTTTGCTAGCAAAAGAGAAAGTTCTACACCATATTTCACACTATTAGAAATCTTAAGATTAGAGAATATTTTTAAATTAAAAATTGGCTCTCTTGTGCATAAAATTCAATATCAAAAAAAGAATATACCTCCAGTCCTCTATGATCTAGCCCAACCAGCTTCAGCTGTCCATAATTACTCTACTAGGTATGCCACTAATCAAAACTTGTACAGACCATTCTCTAGAACCAATTATGGTCTAGCAAGATTTAGTGTGGTGGCATCACAGATCTGGCAAACGATACCTATTAAAATAAAGTGTCTCCCTGCCAAAAGCTTTAAAAAAGAATATAAACTCTTCCTACTTGGCAGGCAGACATCTTGAACAACTTTAACCTATCATAGAGCTCTATTTTACTATTTTAACTATTTAGTATATGTGCTATCTCCTTAAGTGTATTTAACTTTCACCCATCCGTAACTGCTCTGTGGTAGTGGCCAACTCGAAAGCTTGGCTCCTTTGGCTACTACACACTCTTTCCACTGCTTTGTGTAAATTCATGTATAGTTAGAACTCTCTTCTTTTTTTTTCTACTTTTTCTCTTTCTTGTTGTTTTATTTTTAGTAGAATAAGGGGTGAATAAAAGAATGAATGAATGAATGAATTTGAAACGGCTTGAAACCGTTCTTAACACGCAAATTTAGAAAATTTTCTTGTTACACAGGATTATTTATAAAAAAATATAAGAAATTCTATTAGTGTCAAACCGCCGACTTCTAATGTGCGTCTAGCATCACGCGCAAAATGTGTTTCTCGAATCTTCTATGATGTACAACTGAGCATATTTTAATTCTTCAAACGGCGTAATCGGTCAACTTCTTTCGATATTTACATAGCCTTTGAAAAAATCACCCATAAGCTACAGCTAAGTGGATTTTTAGGAAATTACATCTGTCATACTTTCTGAACAGTTCTTGCCCCCGTAGCCAGCCATACAGGTACAAGTGTAGTCATTTACTCCGTCGACACAAGTTTTCGCAAGGACAGACCTTATTTGGATTCTTGTTACTTCTGAACTTCCCGTGAAATAAATTGACTTAATGCAGGTGTATCTGAGTGCGTTTGTTTACATTGCCTACAGCTTTACAGTATACCCGGCGATGTCCCTGGCTTTTACGTTTTTATTCGTGGCTAGATCTGCCGATCTTCCAACCAATGAGAGCCATTACTACGGCCTAACAAGGAACACTTCGCAATTTTTGTCGATCGGCCTCCAAAAAGCCTTATGTATCACCCATTTATGATAACCTACTCAATAATCTTTAAGGACTAACTAAATTTCAGATTAATTCACTTACTTGAATAAGTGCAAATGATGTTGAATTCTGCACTGTCCGGTTCGGCTTTAATATCGAAGACGACGTTGCGGTAAAATATAAATTTATCATCGTTTGAGATAGTAAGTGCCGTCAGGCATGTCCCAAGAGTAATGTTAAAGTCATAAGTAACTGAACCATTAGAGGCTGAACAGTTTCTGTCATTGAGAGTAAGGTTATTCGCGGCAAAAGCAACATCAGCATCAGTAAATAATGATTTTTGAATTGCTACCAAGATGTTGGACGCCTGGCAAGTGACAGTAACATTCTCTAAGATAAAAGGAAGTAACAAAACCATTAGAATGAACGTCATCATCTTTGGTAATTGGCGAGGGACGGAGAATCATTTGATATTAAAGGGTCATGATTTCTGCCTTTTTTTCCCTTCGGCCCAATGATTTTGGATCCATTAGCAATTTTGTTTCGATATTTATGATTAATTTTTAACTATATCTTGTTATTAACGATTTTCAAGTACTAGACTGGAAACTTAATGACTCCCGGTCTGACAGGGCCGCCATACTTCAGTTGATGTTTCAGTGATTCCCTTTTAACTCCCCTCCCATCTTTCCTCACTTTGCTGTAGTTGGGTTCATACAGTCATTTTCAATTGGCCATTTCCAAATTCCTTTTGGTCTGCTTTTCAAAACGACTCTTGGTGCCCAACCATTCTTCTGAAAAGGAGTTTAATTT